TTCCGGCTAATACAGATAACAGCCTACAACTGGTGGCTGCCAAAACTTTTTTCTAATGGCCTACTAGCTATTAGTTCTAGTGGAAAACTTGCAATGCAGAAATACAGAAAAAAGGGTGATTCAATAAAAAAATACAGAAGTGTTTTAGATGAAAAAAAGCATAATACATTCTCATCTATATTTACAAACACAAGAAAAAAAATCCCTCAAGTTATAGTTTATAACCCATACCACCAAGGAAGATTAAGGAACAAGCCAAATATCAACTATTAACCAAAATGAAATATCAAAGATGGTCTAGAATATTATTTTTATTTCTACTGTACTGTAATTTACAAAAAAAATATTAAAAGAGTAAAATCTAAATAAAGTTATTATATTTTAAGAAAAAATTAGCTTCAAGTCACGTCTATTAATTTCATTACACGTGGAAAGTTTCATTCTGTAGCATGGAGTTTTTATCTGGAACACTAGTTATTAAGAAGTGGAATCTCTTACAGCATAGACACTGAATTTCAACTTCCCAGGAACTGAATGATCAAAATTAATCCCTCTGAGCACCAAGTTTAATGGTGGTACTGATAGTAAACTTGGATGAGTGTGAGGAACAGAGTTGCCTTTGCTACTATTCACCAGGTGATTCAAGTATTAAATGCCCTCAAGCTTTAGGAATGTGTTAAAATTCTAAATGAAAAAAAAAAAAAAAAGGCGGCTGTAATGGGATAAACCCACTAGCAAACACACTCTACACTGTCAACAGAAAAGTAAACACAGGTGAACTTACACTAGTTTTCAGTGGAGAATGACCCGCCGGTATTTCAAAATGGGCATTGCTCACTCTGCCCTCCCCTGCCCCAGCTACTGTGTTTTGCCGAGAAGAGCTAAGCCTGTAGAAAGTCAGTCTCAGTTTTTGAAGTAAAAAGAGCAGCAAGCAAAGGCATTGACGTTATCATTACCTCTTTCACTGGCATCATCGACGAGGACAATTTCTTCCAGCATGTGTCGTGGTGACCGGTTTATCACACTATGAACAGTTCGTAGAAGTGTGCTCCAAGCCTCATTGTGAAAAACAATGACAACACTTGTTGTGGGAAGGTTGTCTACATACACTTTCGTTTTACACCTATAAACAAAAATAAGGCATATTTGTAAAGGTCAACCCTTCAGCTAGAACTGCAATTTTGAGGTTTATTGCCAAGTATCAATACTAATGTTCATGATATATCAATTGTCATACTTTGCATACAGAGGAGCAAACGGTGCACAGATTTATATTTTTACCTAAAGACCATCCTGACTCACATATACATCTATGTATTCCATCCTACTACTAAGAAAGGAGAACCTCAATTCCATAACCAGTTCTAGAAATGAAAGAGACATCCATACTGCTAACACACAGAGATGATAACAGATTATTTATTTCCACTACCCCTGTTTTGTGAAGAGTAGCATGTCCAGATACAGTAATCCAAGCCCCTAATTTAGACCTGCATTCCCTCAGAGGGCAAGGGGGAAACCCTAGGAGTGTAATGGGGGCAAAGAGTGGAAGGGCGAGAGACACACGAGATAGGAAATGGCAAACAAACTAGGGAATAAATGCAATAAAAAGTATATATAGAAGAAAACCAAATAATAACTAAAAGAGGTAAAGAATTCTGGACACAGTTGATGTTTGGAAAAAGCCAACACTACATGTATGCCACCTATAATACTGGTGAGTTAAGTATATTTCATAATGTGTTTATATTACAAAGAAAGGGGGAGGTCCTCCTCATTGTATACATATTGGAAGTGCTATTAAAAAAAAATCAAAACCACTTCTGTTCATCAAATTAAAAGAGAACTATATTCACATTCCAAAGTCAGTATGGAAGACCACAGGTTTAGCTCTCCTAACAGCATATATGGGACATTTATGCAAAATATGACCTTCACTCCAAGTAACCCCACATGCAGCCAACATTTTACACTCCACAATACTATTTTAACACAAATGATATTTTCAGCATCTCCTAGAAAAACCACACACTGTACATAAAGAACTCTTAACAATTCTGAAAACACAATTCTGCTCTAAAAAATAACCATGGAAATTTAAGTGTTCTCTGCACAGATCTGCTCCTCCTGCATATTCAAAATCACACAGAGAAACTTACATAAGATTTGATGGTACTAAATCCTTCAAGCTGAAGAGATATATGCAGATCTCAAATACAAAGAAAACACTGAAGCGGAAAAAGAAACATATTCAATGGAGCTTCATTCCAACAAAAAAGCTGTTAGTAGATCCCAAAATACTGAGTCAATTCACTCTAATGTAACCTGATCTAAACACTATTAAAATACGCTAACAAGTATTCATAACTATCACATTAACAGCAATGGCCCTGTCTGAGGGCAAGAAGTACATAGTGCCTATCCTCTAGCCTAAACATATAAAAACAATACTGAAGGAACAACCTGCCAATACAGGATCATGATGTCAGCATCTATCCCCACCCTTTTTTCCCCTCCTTTGGAAAAAACAGTGACACCAGGAACATCATCCAACACTGGGCTCCCAGCATGAATATTTTATTTGCTGGATAACTTGGTTAGCCAGAGCTCTTCTAAGTGAGAGCCATTCTCATAACACATAGGCATTTCAGCTCTGAGGTGGTGACAAAAGCCCAATGTGCACCCAGATCCCAGAAGGAATCAGTAAGCCCAAGTACAATTGAAGACATATCTGGAAGAGCTTCTGTGGAATCATGTTTCATCTCTGAGAATTGAAGCAGAAGGATCAGGCACTATCTGTCTTCAATATTACACTTACTTATTATACAATTATGGCCAAATTTAATTATTCACCATGCTGAAGCGAACATCATAAAATCTTCAGGGAAAGCAGCCATATATATCTCTATGTTTTCCGATTTAGTTTGTGTATAAAAAAAAACTTGCAAAGCATGCCAACTGATAAGGTTATTTTTGTGGTAACACTTGAAAAATAAAATAGCCTTTCGCAAAAATGCTATGATTTTCAGATGAAAAATTCAATCATAAGCCAAATAATTTTCCCCCGTTTGTTACTTGTTCAGCCTATTTTGCTACTTTAAAACCAAACCCTCAATGTTTTATTCCTTCTGCTGCACTGCTCCCTAGACCAGAAAATGAGTGTCTGATTGTAGAGCTTCAGCTACAGTAGTAATACAAATGCACCAATTGTTCCTCTACTTTTTGGCAGAATATTTGTAAAACAGTTGAGAGAAGCCTCTTAGCAGTCTCTGTGAAAAGCAATAACAATGTGTCATTCACCAGGAATATCTTGCTGGTGGGGGGGCTACAGGACCTGCTATTGTATGTAGTATGAAATCTCTCATCTCCAGCCTTGCCTTTTTTTTTTTTTTTTTTTAAAAAACAGTTTTACAGAAGATTTTATTTTACCGAGCTCAGATCAATGAACTGGTATAAAAAAAGCCAGCCAAGTGATCAGGGACTACCATATTTATAAGCCATTATACTATCCGAAGTATAAATGTATCAAAACATTTAAGATCCGTCTTGAAGGGGAACTTTTTAGCACTAAGAGGAAGGCATACAGGAATTTTTTGGGATATCCCACTCCCTGCAAGGCATTCCCACTGCCCTGTCCTGCAGAAGGAGAACATCTTCCTTTCCACAACAAGACTTGACTATTCTCACCCCCAGAGACCAACCCTTTCTGGGGTAACAATTTAAGATGGACCCTACACTAGGTTGTTTACCGATATGTAAAAGTCTGCCATGGGTAACACAAGGGTGTTTCATAACAAAACTGGCTTGGAAATTTTTGAATGCTATTCGTAATAAAGTGTTTGGTGTGAAGTTATTCTGGAAAGATTCATTGATGCAGGCAGGATAAAGGAAAGAATTAATAGTACAATACCTGATTTTAAATACTCTCTTTACCTGCCTTTCTATATATACCTTTTAGCTATATTTGTACAAGTTTTTGTGAATACATACAAATAAAAAACCCTGGTTTTAATTTTGAAAACACCAACATACACTCCTTCCCACCCAGGAACATATTGCTGCAGAACATAGGACAAATAAAATAGAACAGTCGACACCTGTGACTAGAGCATTAGCCTTCTATGTAAACCTCATGTTTTATCCTTACTAACAAACATTTTAATTAAGAATCCTTTTTGTGTTTCATTTGAAAACAAATTACCCCAGAAAGGGATTACTACAGAATTTAAAATACAGCATTAGTTTCAATCAAGTTATGCAACATTAGTAGCAAAATATAACCATGAGGGGTATGACACAAAGTGTATGAATTAAGGACAATTTGAATTTTAATTCTCTACTAATACATTATGTTCCTTTTGTTGGATCATGCCTCAAACAGTTTTAAAATTGAGTGCATAATATTAGGAAGGCATACCATCTCCAGTAATCTAATGAAGACTCCAAACAGCAGCTGAGAATGCCTACTTCACATGTAATGCGTCATCCTTTCCTTAATCTATGGCATTCATCATGCAAACTCTTGGCTAATGTGACTCCATATATTATTTAGATTGTGGAAACTCCCCAAAAATGTTTTTGACATTTTAAGTGCAAGCAGAGACTTACTGCCCTATTACCTAAAGACACAGAAAAAGAATAGGCCGGATTGTTAAAATATTATCAAGACAAAAAGCCTAATTAGTCTACATTTCTTGATGTACATATTCCAATGCTCAAAACCAGTAATGTTTATTTCATAGCAGGTGTCCCTCTCATGCACTGAAATCCCCAACATCAGCTGCATTAGCCTTGTATTCTTCCCTAACATTTGATTTCTTGCTTTCATGTAATTAGGAAATAAAACGGAAAATTAATTAGGAAATAAAATTAAAGTTATCCAAGATCTTTAATGCCCCATCAAAATCAGATTTCAGGAAAAAAGTTTACAAGCTATACTTTCAAAATGTTGTTTTTACAAAGGAGCCATGGGATTATGAAAACATGACTCTGCTCTGACCTCTGCATGATGCTTATACACATTCCTCACGGAATTTCATCTTTTTGCAATTTTGCACCATATACTCAAAATACTTTGGCCTGGTCCCTTATAACCACATGGTTACTCATAGGTCCATATCTCCCCAAGGGCACAAGGCAGTGTAACAGGTTCCAATCCTTCATAACTTAAATTCAAGTTTAATGCACTACAAGCGAAGGAAGGAAGACATACCCTAGCATATGTGTGTATAACATTGCTAAATAAGAACAGGGACAGCAAAAGAAATACAAGTTGTTGTCCCTAACACCCTGTAGCCTGATTTCAAAGTTTTAAACCCAAAAGTTTTTAAAACAGAAAGCCAAAAGCAACTGTGAGTGTGCTTCTCCATTATCATGACTTTTTGTGAAGATGTTAATTGAATCTTATACAAAAGCTCTGCACATTTTAGACAGGAAGATGCTTAGGAAAAAAAAAAAATCAAGGAGAATTTTATTAAATGGATTATGTATAGCCACTTGAAAACTACCTGATGCTACTTCAAATGTGCCTGAAGAGCCTCTGAATAAACTGCTTTCCTCTTTTCTCTTTCAGCCCAGGGTACAAATAGTCCACAGGAGACATTACAAAAATAACCTAGAAGAGACAGGTAAGGCAATTCTGTCCAAATAAAATTAAGCTATTATATCTCAGTTTAAATGCTGCTTCAGCACAATCTTGCAAGGAAAGAAGACAACTCTTCATCTTGCACTTCCTACGTCAGCACAACCATATATTCTCAATGCCCCTTCACATCTGGCAGAACTGGAAGCCTCTCCTCTCATGTCAGCAAAGGAATGAGAAAAACTTCACCAGTACAGGGACAGAAGAAATCCACCAGGTGATCTTAAAAGATCCTTTATTTGATTTCCTCAAAGGTGAAATTCTTCTGATACCTATCTGCTCTGCTCAGTGCCCAACTCAGAGATCAACAAGGCTTACCCACTCTAACCATCAGCACCAGAGATGTCAGGTACTCTGGACACTGCCTTTCGCTATCCCAATGTCACCTCTTTCAGTCTATTGTTGGGACTTTCAGAAATACTTCAAATATTACCTTAAAAAATGCACTCTTATTACAGAACAGCACTTGGCATTTTATCAATACTATGAAATTGTATTCATGGATCAATTTA